TAAGCCGCGCCTTTTTTCCCATTTTTCGACACTGCGGCTTATATAACGGTGCGGCTAAATCTATGGATTTGTACAGCTAACGGCCACTAGGGGACCTCCTAAATCTATGGATTTTACAGGTTACAGTCCACCACCTTTAACTCTATGGGCTCTATGGCCGGTCCGCACCCCCCACCTTTAAGCGGCGGGCTCCAGCAGGAAAAGCTGGAGGCCGGAAAAGAGTGAGACAGGTAGCGCGCAAAAGTAAAACTGGAACCGAGAGTGGTACGAGAGACAGAACGAGAGCAAGACAGACAGACATTACGAGAGCGAGACAGTTTGTCCCCGTACCACTGGTTGAAAACCGCTGCTGTAGATCACTGCCGGTACGTGCGCTGGGAGCGCACCGTTTAAGTTTGAAAGTGGAAAAGTTTGTGTGTCTGAAACGCTATGTGATACAGTACAGTTTACACAGCACAGTACATGTTCTGTAGCTACTATTGCACTAAATGGTAACACTTGAATACGTTATGCAAATATGCAACGTGTTTGTTGAAATGTTAATAAATGGGAGCTTCCTCAAACAGCCATCTCTTTCCCGACAATCCCCTCTGTGCACGAACCCTTACATATGGTAATTAAACATTAAAACACCTGCGGTTTATAGTCCAGTGCGGCTTATATATGTACACATCATTCAATTTAGCTGCTGCGGCTTATATTCAGGTGCGCCTTATAGTCCGAAAATTACGGTAATCACTTATTAACTCAGTGGAACACAAAGTATCCAAAATGTGTACTACGTAGATTGACTTCATATGTATGTGTTTACGTTGTCTCAGTACTCACAGATGGTGAGTACTCGAATGTTGATATTGGAAGTCCTGAAATATATGCAAATGATCAACACTGAAAGCTAATTTACACTCCTGGATAAAGAGCCCTGTTTATATTCTCCGTCTGAACCCTGACAGATGTTGATCTGTCCTTAAATAAATCCAATAAAACATCTTCCGTGTTTCTGGCCTTTCCAACCAAACGTTGAGTGGGAAGACAGCTGATTTCGTTTCGCCACATAAACAAACACAAGCGTTTTTTGGAAGACTCTAAATGTCACAGAAAGTCTCGGTGGGCGATCGTGGCTCCGGCCAAGAGGGGAACCGGGGGGAAAAAATAAGTTTGGGTATGAAGGGAGATGTAGCGCTGTGGTTTTTGAAGCTGGAGAGAGACGGGGAAAGAAACCTTCCAGAGAATGGAAAAAATGAAAACATGATTAAATCTGTCTCCCAGCGGTTGCTTGCATTCTCACGACATACTGAAAGGGGAGTCATGAATCAAGAGCCGACAGGCAACTTCTGTCACCCCAGAGATGTCCTCCTCTTGCATATTATTATGCCGAGTTGACAGGTGAATTATGATGAGGTTTTAAGGGCATGTATAGGTAAAACACACACAACAAAATGAGCCCATAAGGATTCAATAACAAACAAGAATGGGCTTCCCTGTACGGATACTCTCGCCCAAATGTTTGCCAGAACTTAAAAAGTTGTTCCTACCTCTTTATTCCTTCTGTTACAAGTGTGGCATGTGTATGGCTTTGTGCATACATGATTCAGATATCCAAAATACCAAATTATATCAAATTATAGCACATGATACGGTGTTACCACATCAACTGTGATTGCTAACAGGCCCTGGATGTTTTCAATGAACTTGGAAAGCAAGTCCACATTTTTCAGCAGCAGTGAGCCACAAGCCTTTAGTAATATCCAGTATTGCCTCATAAAGTCACGCGATGAGGCTAAGAGTCCAGCTCTCTCCAAAAGATCTGCCGTTTCGAGGCGGCCATAAATAGCTTGTTTCATTATCAGGTCTTTAATCTCCTTCGAATTCCTTTAAATTGCTTATGTTTGTTCCTTTCTCTAAAGCCTTTTCCTTTACCTAACGGTTTACGAGATCATTATCTTACATTCTAGGCATGCCCACACATGAACACCCATCCTAGGTTTATGTTTAGACTGGGATAACCCCTGAGAGGCAGCCATGGTGATCTCCCTTAGACATATAGTAAAGAATGGAAACCCACCATCTGTATAGAAGCATTGTAATAAAACATGAGGGGTGTTAACCGCAGATTTATTATGACAGAAAAGTACGATTCTTAATCAGCAATACAATAATATATGATATAACAAAGTCAGACACAATAGGACTTTGATTGAATTTGACTCAGGGGCCTGCGATCTATATTAAACAATATCAAATGTCCGTTTTGATCCATTTACAAAAAGCTACTTAAATATGATTTGACAATTTTATTACTGGACTCTTCCAAAAAAATGAAAAACTACCTACATTTGTATTAAAAGAATATACATTTAGCTCCTGTTGTTTACTAAAAAGGGCAGTTTTCTTAAGTTTTAGGCAGGAGGTAGGCTTGAAATGAATTTGTAACACAGACGTTCCACTGGAATTTCAAAATAAAAAGCAAGATGAGGAAAAACCGATGTTTTCGTTGAGAATGTGTCATTTTTTATTGAATCAATACAATGATCCATATCTATACACTGCTACTAATCATGGAGCACATTACCTTGTAAAACTTTACACAACTGAAACTGGGCTTGTGTTGAAATTATCTTTATAGGAAGTGAAGAGCTTATCATGCTGCACAGCTGTGTGTGTTTTGTGTACGTGTGGTTCTCCTATTTCTCACCAGAGGTCATTTTAGGCTAAATGCTATAACATTGTATGAATCCAGTGATTGTACCTCTAAGCCATGTAGACGTCTTCAAACAAACCCTTTTAACATTTAGCAGAAATGAGCTTCCCTGTAATGTCCCTCCACTGCTGGCTTTTGTTTAAAGCCCGGCGATTAAACAATGACTCTGGCTGTCATGTCAGTGTCATTGTGTTTTCTTTATACAAACATTAGCCATTCTTACATCAAAGCCAGATTATTCTCCTCCGAAGTTTCCTCATCCTATGATCCTGACTCTGTAGCGTTTTTCTCCTTTTAGTCTTTATATCTCTTTAACATGTGGTAGTCTGTTTCAGCAAAGAAGAGAAGCATATGTGGTGACCCTTTAGAGCAGAGGTGTCAAACTCAATTTCATCGCGGGCCACATTAGAATTATGGTTACACTCAAAGTGCCGGCGGTAACTTTAAGACTATATAAATATACATAGATATATATATATATATAATATATATAAAATAATGTATTATTTAACAACATTTCCTCTGCATTGGATTATTATCGGATAGGGTAATAACTTCATAATTAACTACGTCTGAAAGCAGAAGTCAAGTAATTGCAAGTCTCTTCAGTGGCATCTCACAAAATGAGATGCATTGTGGGGCATGTAGTTCAAGGGCAACGTGCTCCTTTAAAGCGGCACGTGACCTTATAATAAACATATTATATTCTTTGCAAGCTCTTGTGGGCCACATACAATGAAGTGACGGGCCGGATTTGGCCCCCGGGCCGTGAGTTTGACTCCCCTGCTTTAGAGAGTTGTACTCTTTATTACAGTGCGAATCGTATATAATTCACTTTATGAAGCAACAAATGGTACGTCCCATGTCATGCACATATCTGTTTGTACCATCTATACCACCAGAAGGAAGCACAAGATAATGATATGATTATGTTCATCAATTCAGATCTCTTATTTTCAGATTCAAGCTCGCTTAGATGTTCAAATAAAAACTTGAAACACAAAACAAAAAAAACAACTTGGACTTCCAATCACTTTTATGCTTATTTACACAAGGCTTGAAGTGAAGGACCAATTTCCACCAACTATTTGAATAATTAAATAATTGTTTTAAGTGGTTTTCATGCAAAAATGTTATTTCAGGCTGTAAAATATTGAGATTTCCTGCTTTGATATGTTTTACTTTGTTTTAAACTGAATATCTTTGGATTTTAGGCTGAAAAACAAACTTTAGAGGGTTTAGAGAGGCATTTATACAGATGAATTGACAATGAAAATAACTGTTAGTTAGTACTCCATTACATTCATTTGTGTATTCCTGACAATAAATATGTATTCTTACATCAAAACCGTCTCTCCTGATTGAAATGATATCTTCAGTATCTGAGAAATCTACACCATGGTTGGAAATAACATTGAATTCATCAAATCTGTTGATGACTTTATTGAAAGAAGACTGGATACATGATGCTGCAACTCAATATCCCACCCAATGGGGAACAACACACTGTTTTTGGCTTCCATTGTGCGCTTACCAAACAGCCGCGTCACACATAAGGGGAAAGTTGGCATGGTCAACTCTGCATATCATATCACATATCACATGTGTGTCCATGTGACGTGGGTTTATGTGTGTAAAAACATTCAGGTGCATTCTGTTTTAATCCACACCCTACTATCACCTTTATACAGGAGACAACCGTCTGGCCTTTTCATGTGACACGACTATCGTGAGTTCATTTGACTCTTAGTAGAGACTCCAGTCTGCAGTGCTACAATTTACTGCTAAACCATATAATTACAATACATAATAACAAGTTAAGTCTGCTTTCTCTTGTTCTTTCTCACCCACACATGGACTCTTTCTCTACTGAGTCAAAGTTTAAAATGACTTTAAAGATCCCATGGTAGCCAGACAGGGTTTCCCCCCCCCTCTCAGGTCAGGAGGAGTGTCATGAGGGCTGGCTGATGTGTATGACCGAGATTTGACCCCCTGACTGTCAGTAATCAGAGGAAATGTCACATACAAGATAATGCAGTTAACGGCGTAGTATATTGATTTATTTCCATATAGTTAGAAAGCTCACGAGACACAGATCGAAGGCAGAATAGTACAAACTGAGATAAGCATTTATTCTACATTTGAAAAGATATTACCAAAAGCAAACTTTCCCTTCCAGGAAAACATCAAAAACTTTGTGAATGAATGTTCCCGGTTAGTAACTAAAATCTGCTGATAAAGCTTAAATCATTGTATCGGACAAAGAGGGCATTATCCATTGATCACAGGCTGGATAGCGCTCCTTATGACTGGGAAACTGACCTTTATGTGTGAAATTGGTAAAGCAGTATTGTGAGTTAAAGTGATAAGCACCAGAACTGAGATGTCCGTGTTATAGAAAAGGCCTGTGAACACACTGAACCATTAATGGCCCTTTATCACCCGTAAACATACCAGAGATGTTCTGTTAATGTCATGACCTCTTCCATTGTTTTCTCATTTTTTATCAATGCTCTGAAAGCTACAACACACTTCCTGTTCTTCCAGCTAACAGCCTGCAGAGTGCTGCGTCGTTATTTCAGACAACAATGAGCATTTTTTTATGGAGTCCAATGACCAACAAGGCTCCTAAACAGGAAAAACTAAAAGAAAGATAGTCAAAAACAAAAGAGAACAATGATCCAGTATTAGCAACGCATTTGACCTTGAGTATCTGTCTAACTATTAGCCATCACTGGATCATTTTACATGTATTTACACAAACCAATGAGTAACAGAACATATCATTTCCTGCTGTGACAGCAACATAAACTAAACGTGTGAAATGGCCTCCAGTAAGCAAAGATCCATCGGGACAAAGCAGCGTTATTTATGGGGAGATGGGCTGCACATGGGCTGTGTGATGCGACATGTGATTTTGATCCTGCACTCCACTGCTACAGGGCACAGACCCACTCTCAGTGTGCCTGATATCTGCTGATGTCAAATGAACTCAAGGAGAGGGTGAAGAGTAGTGTCAGGGCATAAACACTGAGAAACTGCTGGGAAATATCTGCCGTGAATAAAGTGAGTCCTATACAATGAGAGGCTAACGTTGAGTTTTTCTTATAAAAGGGTTTTCAATGAAGGTCATTGTTCGTCAAAGAACCATTGAAGATAAAACATTTTGCAGTTGTCAGCGATTCCCACAGTTTTAAAGTGTATTTGGGATCAAGAGACCAGTCAGCTGATGCATCACTGCATTCACAACCAACAAGGATTAGATATGCACCATTACACATCATTTAAATTAGCACACACCTTCAAAAACTAACAAATCTTTTCTATGAGAAAAACATGAGCCAACATTTAGGTTGACTTTGACTAAAGCTAATAAAACACATTTAGAACAGTAGGATATGAATACAGTTCAATGAGGAGGGCAGTAGTCTGTAATTATTAAAGGGGGACATATCACGCTCATTTTCATATATATTTTTAGTTGTCTTTACTGGGACATGTCTCCATGCTTTAATGTTCAAAAAGCTCTTTATTTTTCGCATACTGCCTGTGCTGCAGCACCTCTTTTCACCCTCTGTCTGAAACCAGAGCCCAGTATGCTCTGATTGGTTAGCTGGCCGGCTCTGTTGTGATTGGTCAACCGCTAAGAGATGTCCCGCCACTTAGCCTTTCACGTACAATGTGTTGGAGCGCTAGCCAATCTAAGAGGCGCAAGTGTTACATAGTGACGACACTCTGGTGTGAACTTTGGAATTTTAGCCTCTGCAGACCATTAACATGCACAGAAACCACAGGAAAGGGAATACCCCCCCCCCAAAAAAAGCATATTAAGACGTTTTTAAAGTAATTCGAAATGCCATGGAGGGTTCAAGACCACTGTCCGGTGTGAACGCAGCATTATGCTGCGTTCACACCGGACGTGATGCGATTTTTGGGGGCATTACATGTAAAGTTAATGCAGAGACGCGGGCAGACACGAATTCGCTCCGACGGCGCGCATGAAGCGGTGGACGCGGCGCGAATCACGCGATTGAGGCGATTTGAAGGGGGCCGCGCCAAACGCGAAGAGTTCAATTTTTTTTACTCGAGCGTCAAATCCACGTAACGCGTTCTCTCGAAAGCCAATCAGCGTTGGGCTTCCCTCTGACGTCCTGCTGTTGATCAGTTGTAAAGATGGAAGAGATGATCGTTGTGGCTGTGAGTGGGTTCCCGGAGATTTACGATACAATGTCGTAGCCTATATCTACCGGGACCGCAACAAAAAGGAGCTGGCTTGGAGGAGAATAAGAACCCAGACACGGCGTTTGTTGCTACGTTTGTAGGACTTCCACAGAAGGTACAAAGCAGCAATAGTTGTTATATCCTCCATAGTCAAGGACAGAAATAACCATAACGATCTTGCATGGAAGTGTAAACAACCACAACTCTCCGTCAACGGTATGTCTGTTTTGAATGACGCGATAAAACAAACTGCAAGCCGCGGTGAAACTTGAGCGATTGGAGCGAATATTCGCATCGCGTCCGGTGTGAACGCAGCATTAGGCTTCTGCACAACAACATTTAAGGCTTAATGTATTAAACCAGAACATTTCATACCATTCCTTTCATCCCATTCATAAAGCCTCGTGCACATTTTGTTATTTTTTGGAACGTAAATAGCGTGGGGTGTAACTGAACTTCAGATATTAGAAATAACCTCTCATCTTCATTTGCACTTCTTTTCATAGCCCTTTTTTGGCACTGTGTGAAGTATGTGGGAAGATAACACATGACTGCATGTTCCCCGTTTATCATCATGTTAGAGTGTGTGAGAAATGCATGCTGTGCATAGATCAAGTGTTAAAGGATGAATAAAACATCTCGCCCCAGGTGTTTGATGGGACTTTGACATGACTCCACTGATGTTACACATGTGCTGTCTGTCTATATATAAATACAGAAGAGGAAAAACCATGTAGAACATTCCTTGTATGGAAAAATAGCTTTTTTGGATGATTCACAACCACTTATTTGAATGTCATAAATTCTGTACATGGTAATGAAAGAACAGAGAGACAGAAGCGGACTTACTTTTGGCAAACGTTTCAAAAAAACATTTCTTTACTCGGATCAAGCCAAAACTACCTATGAGTTATAGTTCCTGTTATCCACCAGCTGCATGTTAAACATCTCAGAGAGATCTAGGACACATCCTTGGGAAATAATAAATATCCGAATATTTATACCAACTCGAATCTGTTAATAGGAAAACATGCCGCTAAATCAGGTCATCAAGTCTGGGGGAGAGTTTATTATATGTTAGAAATGCTAAGTGATAAATACACTTTATTGAAACTGCTCTCTAAAAAGATGACATTGTGTACTTGAGTCTATCTCGCTTGCTTAGACAAGAAGTAGGCAAAAAAGGGTGTGAGAACAAGCAGCGCTGGAATGTCACAACTGCACCTAACTCATCCATTCAAGCTGGATGTTCACGGTGCACGACTAGAACATGGCTCATTACAGTCTGCAGCTTCACACGTTTTGATTTATTTTGTCTGTTTTTGGTCTTTCACCGCTAGCCATGTTAAACTAGCTATGTAATAACAGGTTGTAAAAAATACATTATAGACGGACGGCTGCTGTAGTGATGAAGCAACTGCTGTAAAGATATGTGTAAGATAATGAATAAGACTATAAAGATGTCTATCTTGCGCGCACATTACTTCACTATCTAGCCACCAATTCATGTGAGATTCAGGGTTTTGGTTGAAGGAGGAAGTCATGGCAACAGGTCAAACAACAAGATGCCACGGGCTAAACAATGCACAGAAAATGTTTCAAAAAAGCAACGAAGCGAGACACATGCATTATAACAACCTCTGTGAAGCCAGAGGCAACCAGGCAGCTTACTCAGCAGCCAGTCTGCCAACACCTCGGCTAAAATGCCTGTTTTGACTCAAACAAAACAACAGCAAAAGAATCTGCGGGTGGTGGAGATGTCATGTGCGTGACTCACGTATAATTGAATCACACATCATGATTCATCCGGCTTTCACAGCCAGGATGTCTGCAAGATTAATCAACTCATAGTGTTGACTTTCTACACATCCATAACTATTTTGTTATAGAGCCTATTGTAAGTGTTGCTAGGTGAAAGGGTGGCATAAGGTTACAAGTATTGAGGACGTGTTGTTTCCGAAAACCAGATTCCTGCATGCTTCTCATTCCTGGCTTGGCTGTGGGATGCACAGCCTTAACGTTTGAATATGTTTCACTCAGATCAGTTAAACGATTGTTTTAGCGCTGGATGCTATAGGGCCCAGGATGATGCTCACCTTTGAAGTAGCTCTTGGCCCTCAGGTAACCCACGCTGAGGCGAAGCACCGACAGTTTGTCCAGACGAGAGCGGATGTCCCCGTTGAACGGCAGGAGCTCCGTCAGCCGGTCCAGCTCCCCATTCAGCCGATCCCGGTGGCGCTTCGAAGGGTTTGATTTAACAACTTCATTTCTTTCAGGCTGCTTCTTTCTGTGGAGTGAACATAAAACACATGGTAAATAATTGAAGAGTTAATTGAGATTAGACTCCGATTCAGTTCAGGCCTGGCCAACCGGCCGTGCCAGTCATACCATCTGGTGCGGTGTGCATTGTGACACATGCCAATTAAACATAAGCCACGTGTACTTTTAGTAACGCATCAAACAGCTTCAAACATACTAAGGGAATAAACACGCAGCCATTACTGTACATCTGTGAGTGACTAATACACACTGTAGTCCAGGTGAGTCAGCAGGACATCAGCTCCAATGTTGACTTACGATACAGGAATGCTGTCAAAGCCACATAAAAGAAAACTTGACCTTGTTTTAAAGAAATTACAAGATCCTTATTTAGCTTTGATCAAAACAACAGTTAAAGGTTTCATCTTGTCAAGTTAGCTTGACTCTATAAATAGCAGATAGAAACTCACTGGTATAGAAAACAGGAAGTAGCATTGTGTTTGAATGTCCCGTGCTGTTAAATCATATGATTGATATGTTTGATATATGGTCAATCAACTTTTTGAAGCTGAAGTCGGATTTTAAAGAGGCTCTAATGTGCTTTTTGGGGTTTTCCTTTTCCATGAAATAGTCTGCAAAGGCTAAAATCCCAAACTTCCCTCCAAAGGAAGTTTTTCTTCCCTACAACGCCCCCTTAAACGCCTCCATTGGAGTCCTTTGTCTACTTCTGTAACATAGAGACATCACTACGTAACACTCACGCTTCTATTGGCTGGCACTCCAACAGATTGAATGTGATAGGCTAAGGGGCGGGACATCTCTCAGCGGTAGGGTTGCCAGAAACTGACCATGATCAAAATCGATTATTCGGCAGCCCTGGCAAATAATAATCGATTATTCGACCGACCCCCCACCCCCCCCGGGAGAGAAAAAAAAAAACTCAGACAAAAGGAATTCCTTTGTTTGTTTCATTTAACTTCCTTTGGACTTGTAAGTTCGAAGTAGTTCCACGAGGAGGAACTCTTTTTACCTGCCGCTTTGTTTTTCTTTAGTCGCACGTGTGAGGGAGAGGGGGGGTAGGGGCGGGGTCGGTGTGTAGCGTGCTGCAGTCTGCTCTGCACGCAGGCTTCCTCCAAGTTTACAGTAAAACAAACTGGTGGTGTGACCAATGGCCATTTATAATTATTAATACTATTACTATTATTAGCATTAGTCTATATTTTGGTTTAAACTAAGACAGAAAAAAAACAAAAACATAAATAATAATAAAAAAATAAATCGATTTTTAAAAATAATATTCGATTATGGAGACTGTAACGAATATTCGAATAATCGAATAATCACTGGCATCCCTACTCAGCGGTTGACCAATCACAACATAGCCAGCCAGCTAAGTAAGCGAATAAAACCCCTAAATGTAGTCTTTGCAGTTGTGGACAGGATATTAAGTGGACATGTAGCAAGAGAAAAAGGAAGCATCCCAAACCTAACATTATAAAATAGTTCTTCATAAAAAAATAAACAACAAAAGGTGATGTTCAAAAAAGTTAACTTCTTACTTATTTTTGTATAGTAAAATGGAATTGATTAGCAAAACATTAAATAAAAGAAATCTACCTACCATGTTAATAAAGAGGAACTACTTGTAATGTTAAACTTTGGATATCTGACTTTTATCTTGAGAAAGATGGACGAGCTAAAAGATCTTCTCCTCTTAACTTGAAAACAATACCATGATTCTTTTCCTCAAGGACACAATCTTCAGCCAAGAATAAATAGCAGAGACACCAGCATGCAAAATATACAACGTTACCACAAGTCATTCCACTGACCACTTATGTCGTTTTTCAAAATGGAAACCATTTTTCAACATGACAGCGGCTTTATTTTCTCTGCCTGCCTCTCACTTTAAGGGCAACGGGGTCTGAGACCACCCATGCTCCAGTTCAACATGCAAACTCACATGGCTCGAGGACTCATTACTCACAAATCAGACACACATGCTACACCGGGAGAGAAACCAAGTGTCAGTGAGAGGGTGGGACGGGACGACGATACATAACAACTGTCATCATTCCTCCACTACAGACCTGCTGAGAAAAACACTTACTGCTAATATGGACATGGCAGTTCATTACTCACAGGAAATAAGGAAAGATACGTCTCAGAGTACGATAAGCATCTGATGACATAGTACACCAAACTATGATAGCATTAAGATACATAGTGTATCAAATCCCATTTATGACTGACTCATCATTCTTAATTTTTTCGGTTGGTCAATTTATTTGATAACTTAGTTTAGTCTGTTTAGTATCAAAATGCAAAAATATAAATTAGATGAAACAAAATTAAACATCTCTGCAAAAGTGTCAACTACTGATTACGTTCATTTTTTTTATTGAATTAATTAAGTACCAACGTTAACATGAATTAGTCATTTTGTGTGAGTGTGTGACGTGTGTGTGTGACGTGTTTGTGTGTGCGTGCGTGCCTGTGTGTGGGTGGGGTCTAACGAGATAACAAGGTTATTCAGCAAATGAGACGAATGTGATGTTAATAAGCACGGCCCATACTTTAACCATGTTTATTGAACAAACCAAGTGCCATGTCCTCTGCCAAAAACATGTCTTTAATCCACGTATTGACAATAGGTTTTCTGTTTGCACTGGGAAAGCAATTCATATTATGAAATATGAATTATGGAGGTCAATAAACTTAATTGGCGACTGTTGGTCAGACTGATCATTTATTAAGCCACATGTTGACCATGAGACTGATTGTAGACGTTTAATTATCTTTGATAAGTCCACATTGACGACAGTAGAACTGTAGACTGAGTGATTCTGTCCAAATGCAGGTACATATGCAGAAACCCAATCATTGCATCCCCTCAATGACAGTTTGGTTTTTACTTTTGTTTTGTGAAGCATTTTTGCGTTACCTATTGTGTATACAAACTGCTATATATATACATTTGATTTGGATTTAAATCTGTGGGGTTGAGACTGCACTCAAAGCATCACACAATCAACACTTAGCAAGAATCAATCTGTATGTTTTATTTAGTCTGTTTACAATTAGGATCTTTGCACTGAACAGATATTATTGATGCTCAAGAGCACCAAACAGCAGGGTGTCATCTGAGAGTGCTAACATGCATAGAAACATTTATTTTCAAAATCCATGGTATGATGACAATAACAGACGAGACACGATGACAATACTTCTGTAAACTTGTCAGCACTCAAAAATAAGTATTATTTGTTCTTTGCGAGTTTTGACTACTTGTTATGCTAACGTCCGTTAGGCCACTCATTAAACTCTAAAAGACATTTGTGTTGAGCAAACAACATCTTTTGTTTGTTATACATGTGTTTAAAAGTCTTATGAGTAACTCTAAAACATTAGGTAAAGGCTGTGGCTCTATAAATATTTGTTAACACGAACCAATAAGTGATCTGTCCGCCAAATCTGATCACATTAAACGAATTGGTTTCAGCCCTGAAACACATCCTAAGCATTAACAGCTTATCCAGGTCTATTACTACCAAAGCATGTCTGGTCTGCAGTTTCAGGCTGCGAAATTCCCTGCCTAAATTCCTCCCTAAATTTCACTCTTTACCGAAACTTTGGCTAATGACAGGCTATAAAGTTTCCTCCTCTGCCACTGAATAGTCTGCAGGGAATGCAGCCTGAACTTGATTGCTGGCTTCAGACCCGAGCTGTACCGTCTCAGAAATAGAGCAGCACTGATCTCACTCTCGAGAAATGCCTAGCGGAGACAAAAGCCAGCATTCAGCACCATTTGTCCACCTTGATTTGCTATGGATCACGGCGTTGAGTAACAGACATCAGGACGTCCATTGTGAGAGAGGCAGATGTTTAAACTCATCCTTACAGTAGACTTTTATTTAGTTTACTTATCTCAAGATCAAAAGAGTAGAGATCTGAACCCAATTGCCTCTGCCTCAGGGTCAAGGCTCCCCATGTAGCTCTCAGTAATGACACTGACACACATTTGTCTGCTCGAGGCAGGCGGAGCGTCTGCCAGATCCACAGGGATGACTCAGTGGATCAAAAGTAGGAAAAGCGTGCTTTCTATACACGTTTGGCTGCTCGAGAATAAGTAGGACGGTTTACAAAAGCGGGCCTAAGAGCTTTCCAGACAGAGAAGTAAAAAATAGCATCGAGAACTCACAAAACATACGTTGTCCATGAGTGTAGAAAACAAAGATGATGAGTGGGTCTCAGCGAGAGTAGCTCTACTTAAGAATAACCTTAAAAGTTGACTTGTATAGTATGCTCATGCTGAGATAAAAACTACCCTGGTTAAAGACACAGGAAATGTGGTCAAGTCTGCTCTCCAGTTGCATCATCCAGCATAAAACTAAATTAAGAGGCAGCATGAAAGCATAAAAAAAATCAAGGACCGATAGAATCTGATCACTTTGACAATACACTGCTACATTTGCTGCGTCCAGGGGAGCTTCAGAGATATGCAGAAGCCATAGCGTGACAACTAAATGATCTATTCAGCTGTGCCTACAGAAACAATAAATGTGGAAGAGGGTTTGAAACATGTGGAGACACATTGGAGAATTGGATGCAGAAGTTTCTATGCATGTTTGTTTGTCAGCTGTGACTCTGCGGGGGCACCGTGGATCCATTGAAGCTACCATCCTCTGGGAGAGGGCAGTCCCCAAATGCTTTAGAGCCCTTCAAACGCTGGCTTCAGGTCCCGTTTGCACCAAAGGTTTGAAAAGCTCTCGGGCTGGGATTGGTTTGGGCTGAACTTTCTGTCCAGAGAGGAGAAACAGCCTATTCGGTTGCCAATAGGGAAAGGGGTGGGGGGGGTGCTTCTATCTTGGTGTCCTGCATGCACAATTCATTATTTAGATTACATTTATTTGGCCAACACTTCTGTACTAAGCATAATTTACCCCTAAACCTACACAAATCAGGAGCATTGTGGGTTACGTTACTTCCTTTAAGGCCCTTCAACACGTGGACCAGAACAGCCAGGGTTCTAACTTTCAACGGTTAATGGCCGACCAGCGTTACCACTTGAGCGACAGCCGACTTCTTTATCTTTGCCTTGCTCCACCACGCAGACAGACAGACATAATTATACATTAGGGTGCTTGAGAAACATTACAGCTTTCAAATGTAAATGAGATCATAAAATAACAATAACGCATTATGTGTATATATTTTTTTTCTTTTGTTAGCTGTACACACAGGTTTTATTTCACAAACAGAGACATTTTTCCTGTAAGAGTGTTAGACTGGTATTTGTGAAGACTCGTCTTTGAAATTAAACAAAGGGCAAAGAACAAAGGGCAACTTTGTTGCTGTTCACCGGGAGTGTTCTGGCTTCCTGCCAAACCTCTTATCAGCACGTCTGCCTGTGTGTGCGTTTCTCACAATCTCCTTAGATTACCGTGCAAAAAACATTTGCACTGGTGAATTTTATTATCCTTTATTATTAAGGAGACCATTGTTTGCTAAAGTAAATGCTTAGTCATTCTGGAAAGCCTATAACTCATAATCCACTTGCTCAGTCTTAAGTACACATTGCCATTGTACGATGTGGGGGGGCTTTCATGAGCCGTACTGTATACACAATAATTAACTCATATTTTCACAGCAACTTGTAGGAGTGCTCCTACTGTTGAAATACCATAATGCAAAAAGCTGAGAAAGGAATAATCCACTTCCAGATGAATTTTCTGTTTTGTTTAGTTATTCAGCAACCTATTAGCATAAGCTATGCAATAGATCACCGTCCTCTGTTGTTGTTTAGTTGTCAATTTGGGAGACTACAGGTTTTGTAGAGTTTTACATTTTGGACTCTATCTTGTTTTTTTGCAACCAGAGTGACACAAGAGGGTGGAGCAAAGAACATCCAAGACATTTTTTGCAGATCAAAACAAAAACGCAAAGAATACCCTGACTGGACACCGCAGCACAAAGCCATGAACCACAGCATTCCTTTCTTTAACAGCTTTTTCAATCAAAATAGGGCCTTCATTTACAAAATGCACATCACGATGTATTGAAGAGGACTTGAAACTATAGCAATTGAGGCCATAAACTTGTCAGGAAAATATTTACGGAGATAATTAATCAAGTGAGAAGTAGGGTCATTTTCTCATAGACTTCTATACAATTGGACTTCTTTTTGCAAGGGTGTACAAACTAATGCATATCCAATTTGAGGCAGTTCTGCATTCATTAACAGACCTCGAGGAGGCCGCCTTGTGATGACATGAGGAAGTTATGAGTTTGCATTTTGACAAGGGAAGACACAAGACAACAGTTAAACACATAAAACACAAATTGCTTGCAAACGGACTAAAACAGTTACTGTAAGAGCAGAGGACCTTTCCTCTGGTTGCACGTAAAAATACTTTACATTTAATAATGCAGTTGGATGCATGGCGGAGGACACTGGCAACATACACAGAAGGCGTCCTCGGTAATAAAAGCCAGAATTTGGATGGCCAGATCTGCCGTGGAATGCCCCTGTGTAGTGACCACAGCTTTTTACAGTCAGGCTCAATGGTGCCTTTGTGCAGCTGAGCCCAGCTGGCTGTCCAGGAAACCTCAGTCCTCGCTGCACAGCCCCACAGACGGCTGCACACAGGCCACCTCTTTATTTCGGGAATGACACATGGAACAGCCAATACCCAAATTGCCAGACCCTTATAAGCACACATATCTTTATACTAGACTCAACGCTCATCTGTGTTCAAAAATATGATTCATTATCACTTGCTAAAATTGTCTAAACTCATTCATTGCCGTGACATGTTTTCCATTTAGTACTTATCTAAACAAACTTGGATTCAGTTGTTTTTGCGATTGTTAATCCCTGATTGAAATAGATAGTCAAGTAATAGCACTGTGTGGTCTGAGTGATGATGGAGGGTACGGTCTTTGGTTAACATTTAGACCACAAAATATGCCAGAAGATCAACATGACTATAATATACTTTTGCTTTAAGTTTCACATTTAAGGAGAAAACTTTAGGTCAGCTGATTAATGTTGAATATTCACTCTATTCTGGTCTCCTCCAACTCCAGAGAAAAATATCTGTTTATTGTTTACTTCTGCCTCCGTTGTTAATGTTATGGACTTTTTTTCCCCTCTTTTTCGAGAAGTTTCATAATCCAGAAAGAATCCTAGGGGATAATTGATGATAAAAATAACACTGCAACACTACCAATATGGTTTTTAAATAGTTAGACAAAAAAAATACCATAATGCAGTAATGAGACAAGGCCTGCAACTGGACAAACTCCACGTTTCAAATACTGCTTACTTTAATGCATCAATAGTTCAGCACTGAAAATGTTTTAACTAGTATTTTAGTATATTTCATTATGAAGTACATCCTGAAAACCATCTTCCTAAGTAATGCAGTTTCTCTATTGTTTGTATGACTATTATTATACTGTTACCTATCTTTTTCTACCCTGCATGCATACTTTTTATTTTATCCTAGTGTGCTTGCCTCTTTATTTTTTCATCTGTAGTCTACACTGTTCCCTTTGCTGTCCCCTCTATGGGACTATAGTTCTATAGCTGTAAAATCATGGCTTGCTGTGGAACAAACTTTTACAAAGTAAGAAACTAGAGGGGTATAAAAGGAGTAGAACACACACACACACACACACACACACACACACACACACACACACACACACACACACACACACACACACACACACACACGGCCATATCAGATTACAATAACATACTCGGAACCCG